AGAGAAGGTAGCAAGGAGGGAGAGACCGTTAGCCTAATAATGAAAATGCAATAAGTCCAATAATTACCTCTCGTGCGACAGTGGAAGTCTTCTATTAGCTGCTTCATCAGATGAGCCACTTAATAGAATACTATCAATAAAAACGTGATCATCATTGCCATCTGACTTAGTACTTAAGTGCTACAAAATCAACAAGAAAAATGTAGAGCAATAAAACCTCCGACCACTAAACCAAAGCTTAAACAAACAACATACAAACTTTATTTAATAAAAATGAAGAGTATATTGATAAGAGTAAGATTTTATACAGGGCTACAGAGATATGAGTAATCATTATGAAATGTTGCACAATAATTGTCTATCTAACTACAACGGACAAAAGAAGAACAAAAATACAAAGACTTCACAACAACATTTTAAACCATCAACTATCAAAAATCCAACTATTGTTAACATCCTCGTATCAATTTAAAAAAAATTCCTCGTTCCTCTTGAACCAAATGGCAATTTGACGCAGTTCCTAGTAATGCGCCATCCTCAGTTTTTTTCCCGCTGATATTAGGAAGTCTTACCTTCAGCATTGGTGGTTATGGCCTCATAATATAGTAATTTCAAATTGCCACCCTCTCTAACTAGTCATGAATAGGAAACTGAATATATCTTTCAAATTCTGCGAGCCATTTTTCTAATTTTTGCCCCAGGTTATATGTTTTCCGCCATATGTTTGGCATTATCACACTCTATGCACAAAACTATAAGAACGTTTAGAACCAAGCAACACTGCCCATTAGTTTCCACTCAAAATTAAACAAATGAAATTGAAAAAATACCTCCAGAAAACGAATGTGGTAAACAGGGCACTTCTCAGGATCCTTCGCCAGGGAAAGAAGCTTTTGATGTAACAAAACATCTTCCACCTTCTCCATGTTAATATCAAGTCCATAACTGACAGAATAATTATAAATAACCAAGAAGTTAATAATTTAAAGAGAATGGAGTAGATCATCCCTACCCGGTGATATAGCCTAGGTAAATTTAACATGTTATACTACTTACATACTATCAGCCAGTAAGAATTCCATATTTTATCATCTTACGAGAAGCACAATCTAAAATTGATACACGAAATATGGGATGAAGATGAGGTATCAGCCAAGCCCAAGTCACTGGAATGTAAGTTATAAAAAGAGCTTCCGGTGGTCTTTGATAAGATTAGTAAATTTCTTATACAGAAAATCCAAGATGACACAATAAAACTGTTAGAAATCACAACTCTCCACAATGGTATGATATTGTTCACTTTGAGTATAATCTCTCGTGGCTTTGTTTTGGGCTTCCCCAAAAGGCCTCATACCAATGGAGATAGTATTCCTCACTTATAACCCATGATCTTCCATTAAATTAACCACTGTGGGACTCACACCCAATAATCCTCAACAAAAACTAGCTAAATTCTATAGTACGATCAAGTCCCGATCCTTATGTTAAAAAAATCTGTCATTCTTTTTAAGCCACAATTACTACAAAACAGCTCGCAGGCATTTAACCAGGGATTTGATAGCAAAGTACTACACTAAGTTCTTAAGCTGGAAAGTTCAACCTTACGCCAAACAAGTTTAGTCAATTCAAAATTTAACAAATGTCAACCAATAATACTTTTCAAAGAAAGAAATTAAGTCAGTTACCTATTTCCTTTCTGAACACGTTTTTGAGGTCTGGCCTAAATTTTAAGAACTAAAAAACGTAATTTAAACGAAAATATTCTTGTTTCCAAACTTGATAACCAATAATCCAAAAGTATTTTTAAAAAAACAAACAATCAATCAAAAAATTATACATGCAGACAGGCAACTAAATTTCAGAAACGGAAAATTAGAAAAGGAACCGTTACCAAACGAACTTTCCCAGCATCAGAAAACAACATATAGATTAAGCAGAATCAGTAGGATTATGACAGACGCGTATTAGAAAGAAGAATTCCGAAGAAAATTAATCCACCAAAAGTAGCAACCACTAATCAGTTGAGTTAGACAAACTATATTAAAGCAAGGATGCAAATGCATTTACACTCACTCCATTAAAGCAGCTCAAATCAATTACAAATATATAAAAAGAAGGGAGAGAGCACATAAAAGAAAGCAGAGCAAGATTTAAGAAGCCAAATATCCAGATCGCAATCAAATAAAAATCGGAATAAACTACCTCGGAGGCAAGCGATTGAAGTGAGCATCCAAATTCTCACGCAATTGGGGATTAGAAACTGCCTCCTCATGTCCACGCTCAACTAGCCGAGTATAAACATCGTTCCGAACATCGTGGACAGCACAGAAGCCACCGAAGCTTCGAGGCGGCGAAGAACTCTCTCCAACACCCTCAACGAAATCCATATCCGCCATGGAGTCAACAGAGACGAGGAAAGGTCATGGGAAAGAAAGCAAGAGAGGGAAAATTGGAGGAGAAAGGGCAGAGAAGTAGTTTGGGAATACTTAGGGATCAGTAGAGAGGATCTTTGATTGTTGATAGCATCTAGGGGAAGAAGATGGACTGGTTGGGTATTTGGAATGAAGATGGAGGGCAATTCCGTCATCCACGTTTTGAACAGGATTTTTAAATAATTATATTTTAATGTTGAAGATGGAAAAGGTTGCAGTATGGGACGTTGTGAGTAATTTACGAAAATACCCTTATGATCTGCTATTAATTACTAGTTTATGTCTAATATTATAGAATTAGTAAAATAAACTAAATTTAGAGATTTTTTTTATTAATTAAAAGTTTCAATTCTCTATTTATTAGTTTTATTTTTTATTTTTATACAAAGAGTAGGATATTAAAATATTTTAAGGGTGAAAATTCAATAATACTTTGAACAATTGAGATATGTTTAAATTGGTCATCCTCTAATTCATTTTAAAATTTGAGAGTACAAGAATTCACATAATTAAAAATTAAAACAATTTAATAAAAATTATTAATATCAAAAATTACGAAAAAAAAAATAACACGAGATAAAGAAAGCAAATACTCGAGGCATACAAGTAATCACACAAATACTCATCCGTAACAGCAAACGGGTGCTAAATCCTACACCCTAAAACCCTAAATTCTATTTATAACAATCGGGTGCTAAATCCTAAACCCTAAAACCCTAAGTTCTATTTATAAGTCTAATTTTTAAAAAAATAGAATAGATAAAAGATACCATTAAAACAAAATAAAATGTTAACAAAGTATAAGATGTATTAATAGTTGATGAGAGATATTTTAAATTTACAGGCTAAATTTATGAATTGCATAAATTTTTCAATACAACAAATGAAGTATGATATTTGAACGTCCAAACTTTATGAAATTTCATAAAGTATAGAATGATGTCACAATTTATTTAATGTTTACTTTAGTGGTTAGGATTAAAATCATAAATAATGTTTTTTTTTCTTTTTTTTTTCTTTTTTTGTATCATTTGTTGATAGGCAAATTAATTAGGAAATGAAGTGAGCGAAGTTTGAATAATAGGAATGAGCAAACATTTTGCCCAAATTCACTTCAGATTTAACGTTGAGATGACCTCTGTCTTCGTTAAGCCCTTCATCAAAGTTCCCCACCGCCACCCTACCGTCCACCATTCTTATGTTTGGCAGCTTCTGCGTGACTGCCTCCTGAGCATTCCATACCTCTTCTTTGAACTCAAAATCTGGGCTTATGAAGAAATCATGGGTCACTATCTTCACCTGCAGTTTTTAAGAACACAAATTTCAGCCCAACATATCATATGTTTTGATTTAAGTTTAGATATGACGAACCAGGATGATGGGTAGATCTGGATGGTTCATGTCCGCACGCAAGTCCGTGAAGAATTTGCTCAGCTCTCTCTCGTACGACTTAGCTTCTTCTTCCACCGCCGCATCGGACTCTCCTTGATACCAAAAGAATCCCTTAACTTTCCCCCCATGTTCTTCCGAACGTTTCATCCGTTCAACCAATTTGGTGTACCTATTAGTCCCTTTAACCCATTCTCTCAAGTGAGATCCTCCAATGGCACATGGAACCAGACCGATGGTGCCAATGCTCGGGCCTGCTTTGGCCAAAAGCTCATTGGCAAAAGGCATGCCGGGTCCAACCCCATTGGTCTTTACAACGTCTATGTCCCAATGGAGTGGCTCACGGGCTTGCTCCCATACCATATCAGCAGTGAACCGAAAGATGGATTGGTTGGGTTGAGATTCTGGGGGGATATAACCATCCCACACGTTTTTGTCTGTGGTTGGGTCTTTGGAGACGCCGCCTCGGCCTGCCATGTTGCTCTGCCCTGCAAGTATGAAAATGTTGGCCGGAGAAGTAGCAGCCATTTTTTTTGCTGGGTTTGCTTCACCTTTGTTTTCTTCGTTTTGGGCTCTTCTTAATTATAAATATAGCAGTTTTTGTGTTCTTTATTTAGTGAATTGGGCGGTTTTTTTGTGATGAAATAAGGTCGGGAGTTACAACTCTCTGTTTTTCCTTGCCGTTTTAAGGTTGTCTCTTACGTTGGCTTTCATCCATGGGATTTCTGATTAGAGCAACCTAAAATTTTATGGGAAGGGGCAGAATTCTCTCAAACTATTATAAAGATTAAGACCCATTTTTCGAAAAGAAAATAGTTTTTTCACTCGTCGAAAAAGTGTTAGGATCACACAACAACGCACATATTCAATCTAGATAAACACAAAATAGATGAGCTAAATCCAGAAAGTACATATTCAAAGCACGCATATATAAGTTTCAGTTTACCCTAGTAAATATCTATTAAATATATATCTCTCAAATTTTTACTAGGAGGTTACATATCGGAACAAGAAGATGTGGGGCCAAAAAGGATTTATGTTCTATAGGAGCAGGAAATTGGGAGTGAAACATGAGGCTGAAAAGAGGCTAACGTGGTAAGCGGCCAGGTGGAGGAGCGGATGAAGAACTTGTTTCTCATTGGTCAGAAATCTATCCAACACCCTCCTTTAGATTTCCCCTCCAGATTCTCATCATCATAATTCATACATCACTCCATTTAAACCCACAATTCAATTCACAATATCTTCCACAGACCCTTCTGATCAAATAATAAGACATAGTTTTCGATTCGTACCTGAAACTTCCCATCTCACCTGCCATGGCTGCAACTTCTGGTGCTGTGCTTAATGGGTTGGGCTCACCCTTCCTCCATGGCGGAAGCAGAACTCAGACCTTGCTGGCTGGAGCCAGAGGCGGTGTCAATGTCGTTGGCTCTCGCAAGCTTGTCATCGTCGCCGCTGCTCAGCCCAAGAAGTCTTGGATCCCTGCTGTTAAGGGCGGAGGCAACTTAGTCGACCCAGAATGGCTAGATGGCTCGTATGTCTCTCGCTTACTTTCTTCTAGTTGCACTTTTTTTAGTTACTGTCTAAAAGCTGATTGAGGCATTTCATCGAACACCTCCTAAGCAATTACTTGTTCCGTTTGCGTAGACTTCCAGGTGACTTCGGCTTCGACCCATTAGGGTTGGGGAAGGACCCTGCATTTCTGAAATGGTACAGAGAGGCAGAGCTGATCCACGGCCGGTGGGCAATGGCAGCGGTGGTCGGAATCTTCGTAGGCCAAGCCTGGAGTGGGATCCCATGGTTCGAAGCCGGAGCCGATCCAGGCGCAATTGCTCCATTCTCCTTCGGATCACTTCTCGGAACCCAGCTTCTACTAATGGGATGGGTGGAGAGCAAGCGGTGGGTGGATTTCTTCAACCCAGAGTCTCAATCGGTGGAATGGGCGACGCCATGGTCGAGGACGGCAGAGAACTTCGCAAACGCAACGGGAGAACAGGGTTATCCCGGCGGAAAATTCTTCGATCCGTTGGGATTTGCCGGAACTATTAAAGATGGGGTTTACATTCCGGACACGGACAAATTGGAGAGATTGAAGTTGGCTGAGATCAAGCATGCTAGGATCGCCATGTTAGCGATGCTCATCTTCTACTTTGAAGCTGGACAGGGGAAGACGCCATTGGGGGCTCTTGGAGTATAAGGAAAAATGTTGTTGATTTTAAGGTAAAATTGTTCATAATTTCACTAGAAAAAAAAAATGGAGACACTGTGTTGATTGCCATTTCCAAGTCTGCCCTTTGCCTTATTTCAACTCGGTTATACAAGAACGTTGAAACTCGTCTCACTAAATGCGTTTTAAAAATTGTGAGGCCGACGACTATGCATAACGAACCAAATTGGATAATATCTACTAGTGGTGGCATAGGTTATTACAAATGGTATCAGAAACACCGGATGGCGTGCCGGCCAAGACATTGGCCCCCAACGAGAGTGAATTGTGAGATTCCACGTTAATTAGAGAAGAGAATGAATCATTTCTTATAATAGTGTGAAAATTTTTACCTATAACCGCGTTTTAAAAAATGTGAAGCTGACTGTGATAAGTAACGAGCAAAAGTAGATAGTATCTGCTAACGGTGGACTTGGGCTATTACATGATAGCTTGAAGTTAGGTATAAGTTTATTTATATTTCTAGTTTATTCTAAGGTATAAATGTCAACCGGTTTGTTAAAATAGAGTTTGGATCAATATTCAAGTGGACTAATGAACCAATGCTCGTACATAACGAAAATTGTACATAGATATGGTGTTAGCTTGGTATACTCGAACTAAACAAAATATAGAGTTGTGTAGTGGTTTTCGAGATTGAGATCTCTCTTCATATATATAGCGAGATTCATTAGGGTCTCTAGCCGCTCAATGTATCTATTCCACCTAGTAGATTAGAGAAGAAAGTGCTTAGGAACATGTAGGAGAATCAAGAGGGTTTATGGCCCCAACTGGGAGCGTAACTACACCAAGAGGATAACCAAATCGACTCGACCTAAGGTGAGAGACCTAATTGACCAATACGATTTGGTGAAGAAAAAGTACTTCCGGTGGAGATGGAGCGAACGACTCCTAAATTCAAGCCCTGAACATGGATAATGTGTACCAATTATGATGTGATATATTCACTTCTCTATAAATAAATAATTAATTAATTCATTTATAAAATAAATATACCATTCCATTCGATTGCCTGTCCCTTCAATTACCTATTTATTCCTGAACGGATTCGTTATCCATTAAGTGAACAAACATTGAATACGACAGTGGTTCATCCAAATTTTCAAATTGGAGTTTTTTTTCGATCCCATGAAATTTCATCTAAATGTAGTAAGATTAAAAAAAAATAGTAAATAAATAAATAATTAAAATAATAATAATAATAATAAATAAATAAATAAAGCCCATGGGAATATAGGAATAGTATTATGTGGCTTTTAGATGATGGAAAATAAGGAATTTTTACAATTCCTCGCTCAATTTTGATAGATAAAATAGATTTAAAAAAATTGATAAATATTTAGTCTAAATCAATAAAAATAATTCTAAACTTTCTTATCTATATAAAAAGGTTTTTTTTTAAATTTTTTTTAATAATACTTCAAAATTTTAAAAAATTCAAAAATAATCTTTAAAACTTTTAAAAAAATATATATCTTCATCGGTAGTTAGAAAGAAAAATTATTAATATTTAAATTCATAAATACTTTCCAACTTTCTTTAAAAAAAAATATTCATAAATTTACTAAAATTTCATTAATACTTTTTAACACTTAAAATAGATATAAAAAAAAATTCTAGAAATTTAAAAATATTAATATTACTAATGGTCAACATGGTTAGCCGGTTGGATTCTGTTAAGGCAATTGAAAATTTTGGTTGCTCGCATTTGGATTTACTTTTCCACTCTCGATTTTAGGCTACCCTTTTAATTTGGACTTTGATTTCGCTGATATGAGAAGGCGTAACATTTCTCTATTAACAATCTCAACATCTTGCCTACTAGTCTATCATTTTAGGCCGTTAGAGAACTTAGTAAACGAGTCGTACTTAGATGAGAAGAGTCTTAAATACGAATTCAAAATTTATGGTACTAAACGATACAAATTAAAACTCCATGGAGAAAACGAATACGAAACCCCAAATGAAATGTCTATTATCATCAAAACTGAAATCGTATTTTATTTGGAGTTAATATTTGGATCCATTATTATTCTTAGTAATCTAAACTTCTACAAACAAGTTGTTGTGGAAAAATAAGTATATTATTCACTTCTATTTCAAATTATATTCTTAGTCATCTTCAAATTCAAAAAAATATTATTAATTTATTGTTAGAATATTATACAGTTAAAATTATTATCAAATATTCAAAAATTTAATTAGTATACATTCAACAAACCTTAAATTAGTCATTTAAAGCATATATATATATATATATATATATATATATATTCTCAAGAACAACTACTAAAAATATTTTTTTCATAATTCTAAATAGAATATAGTGATTTAAGTAAAATTATTGGATTTTAAATTGATTTTGAAATTAATTTAATTTAATTATTTTTTTCTTTGAATCTATAAATTTAAAATTGAAAAAAAAAATACTATAGGTTATATGAATAATAGCCAAAATTATAGAATAACAAACTATAGATTATATGAATAATGGTTAACTTCTAGAATGATACGCTAGTGATTATATAAATAATGGTCAAAATTCTAGAAGGAGAATGTGAATTTTGGTTAGTTTTTTTTTTGTTCAAAATTCATGAATCTAGTCAAATTCACCTTAAAATTTATGGATTCTAACTAAATTTCGATGAATGTTTATGAATTTAGGTAGATTTGGGTCAGAATACATGAATCAGACATATCTTTTATTTTTTTATTTTGAATAATTTATTAATTTATGATTGAAGAAAAAAATTAGCTCAACAAAAAAAAGAATAATCTGACAAAAAAAAAGAAGAATGGGACAAAGAATCAGTTTTACATTTCCTCACTCAATTTTAACAGTTAAAAATAAATTTATTAAATATTCATTTGTATTAATATTTTTATAATCAAGTGGTAAATTAATTAATTTAAAAATTAGTTTTTTTTAAATAATAATAAAAAAAGAAAGTGGCGTTTTACAATTACTTACTCAATTTTAATTATTAAACAAATTATTAAATATTCATTTGGAATCATAATTTTATAATGGAATTTTCTTTTTTCATGACGTCATAAATGTGGTAAATTAATTTTATAAAATTAGTTTTTTTTTTTTCTTTTTCAAGAAACGTAAACTATTTAAGGGCTATATTTTACCCAGCTCCAACGGCACAACACACCATTTTAGCGCGAATACTCAAAGCTTAAACACTCAGGTTCCTTCTTCCTCTCTCTAGCTCTCTGTTTCTTTATTTAAATTCCATCTTTTACTCGTCTGATTCAGCGAAGTTTTGATTGGATTTTTCAGATTAGGAGCAGAGCGACGGAGAGAAGATTTGCCGGAAGAAGATAGTGAGATATGGCTGCCTGTACGATGACGATGGTTGAGAAAAACGCTGGGATTGAGGTTGTGATCGGAAAGTTTGATGCCAATGTTGTGTTTTCCGAGCCTCTGCCGCCTTTGCCGGAGATCAACACTGTCGTGGGTCTCAAGGGACAACAACACGCAGAATCGAATCAGAAAGGGAAGAGGGAGATTGGGCTCGGCAGAAATGCCGTTGCTACTTGCTTCCCCATCACCGAGCCTGACGACAATGATGAGTCTACTGGTGACAAGGAAGCGTACATGGCTAGCGTATTGGCTCGCTATAGAAAGAATCTCCTCGAGAGGACTAAATATAATTTAGGTTTTTAGTTTTTGGAAACCTAAATCTTGTTTCCGTTTCGGAAATTGGAATTTTCGTTCTTCTGATTTGGATTTGTATCTCTGCTCTCTGTTTTAGGTTACGCGTATAATTTTGACTTCGATTACGGTGCTCTGGCGCCGTTGCAGCATTTCTTTATTAACAATCTTGGGGATCCGTTCGTTGAAAACAATTACGCTGTGCACGCGAAACAGTTTGAGATTGGAGTGTTGGATTGGTTTGCTCGGCTTTGGGAGATTGAGAAGAATGAGTATTGGGGATATGTTACACATTGTGGAACGGAAGGAAATTTTCATGGGATTCTCGCCGGGTTAGTTTCATTGAGTTTGATTTCCTGTGTTCATACGGTGTTAATGCATATTTAGTTTTAGCAGTAGTGAAGTTTTGGGCATTGGTTCTTGTAGGAGAGAAAATTTTCCTGATGGGATTCTGTATGCTTCTGGGGAATCTCATTATTCCGTTTTCAAAGCCGCTAGATTGTATAGAATGAACTGTGTGAAGGTCGGCTGTCTGGTATCTGGTGAGATCGATTGTGCTGACCTTAGACTCAAGTTGCTTGCTAACACAGATAAACCAGCTATACTCAATGTTAATATTGGTAATTTCTGTCTCTTTCTTCATGTTTTCTACTACAAACAGGGGAATATAATCGTTTTATAGGTGAGAATTGAGTGGACCCTTGTTGCAGGAACCACGGTGAAAGGAGCTGTCGATGATCTTGATCTTGTGATACAAACACTCAACGAGTGTGGGTTCTCTAAAGATCGGTTTTACATCCATTGTGATGGGGCGTTGTTTGGATTTATGATGCCTTTTATCAAACATGTAAGTCACTTTCTTGAATACTTCAATTTTTACTAGAGCATGTTTCTAGTTTGCCTGTTTTTTCCTTGTTGCTTAAACGGCGTACATATTTAATTGTATCCAAGATAGAAAGTCATGTTGATTGTGTACTGACCCGAAGTTGATTGCAATTTGTGAGATCCACATTGGTTGGAGAGGAGAATGAAACATTTCAAACAAGGTTGTGAAAACCTCTTCTGAGTAGACGAGTTTTAAAACTGTGAAGCTAACGGCGATACATAATAGACTAAAGCGGACAATATCAACTAGTGGGCTTAGACGGTTACAAATGATATCAGAGATAGTCACTGAACTGTGCAAGGCACTAGTTGGAGGGCTAGCCTTTTTCATAGTAGACTAGACCCTCTCGATACGTAAAGACTAAAATGGATAATATCTACTATCAGCGGTTTCACACTTGAATTTGGGTCCTGCTTTTGTAGACTTGGAGCACTTCCGATGAGCTAAGCTCTAAATGCTACTTAGAATTGGCACAACCACCCTCATCCCTCTTTGGCTATATATACAA